GGCATTTTTATAAAATGACACTTGAAAAAGTGACATTTTTTTGAAATTCTTTTATTTTTATATATAGGTTGATTTGATATGAAAAATAGTTCATACGACGATTGTGAATAATTCGGTTTTTTTTTTTTGATAAAAAATAATGGGGCACTTATAAAAATGCCACTTTTTGTGTGCACATTTGCAAGAATGCCACTTAGGGATGCCCATTTGCAAAATGCCACTAATTATATATTTATAAAGCATATATCTTAAAATTCTAAATCCTAAAAAATATTTTGACCCCTAAAACCCCCTAAACCCTCATAACTAAACCCTAATAGAACATAATTAACCCAAACATAAATGATATAAAGAAAAAATAATTTTGAAAAAGTGGCATTTTTGTAAAGATTTCAAAAGTGTGGCATTTTTGTAAAGTGACACTTGAAAAGTGGTATTTTTTTCGGTTTTGCAAGGACGACATATATCTTAAATCGCAATTAATCATTTCGTGTTTGGACTTATTCGAGGAAGTTGTGTCCAGTGATATTTTATGCAATCAGAAAGATACAACAGACTCACTAAGTCACAAGAAGATCACGACATTCTCTGTCTCAACCATTTATTCATATGGAACTTTGGTTGTGTACTAAAAAGGTGGTTTTACCCATGCAGGGAAAGAAGTTATAAGAATAAATAAATAAGAAAATCATAATTTTTTTCTTTGTAAGAAAAGTGATTTAAATGATATATGAACTAAGTTTTTACGAACCAAATTGGGACGTTTAGTATAGTTATATTTTAAGAGAGATGTTTTACCACTAGCCTCCAACCACTGTATTCAGAGACTAATTATTTTAGTGACCATTACTTAAAAATTGAAGTAGTAGCAGAAACTATATTTCATTTAGATGTATCGATATTTTTTAATTAAAAATTCGTCTATAGTATTTTAGAGTCTTTCTGTTAGAAATAATTAAAAAAGTAGTCTTTATAAAAACAAAATTACTGATCTTTGTAAAAAAAAAAAAATTATATTTCATTTAGTCTAAAAATTTAACTTCAAATTTATTACATTTGATGAGAGATCTAAACACGAAAACTAGTGAAAAGAATAGAGATTGAGAATTCGAGATAACATTTTGTAGGAACATGACGGGAACAAAAACTCAGATTTAAGTTTATCAGAACAAATAATTGAGAATCAAGATATATAAATTATAAACTAATATCATGAAGCTGAATTACCGTAGCTTAATGATGAGACTAAAGGATAAAATGAAAGTCCTAATTGAGTGTTACCTACTTGGCGGGACAAATGAGTAAACCTAACAATAACATAGAGCACACTCGACGCCATTAGCCAAATTCCATTTGAGCCATCCAATCCCTTAGTGGATCTTCTTTGTCTCCAGCCCATCTTGTCTCCATAA